GCATTTCTCTGATAATTAGTGATATTGAGCATTTTTTCATGTGCCTTTTGTTCATTTGTATGTCTTCCTTGGAGAATTGCTTGTTTAGGTCTTCTGCCCATTTTTGGATTGGGTTGTATATTTTTTTCCTTACTGAGTCGTATGAGCTGCTTATATATTCTGGAGATCAAGCCTTTGTCGGTTTCATTGGCAAAAATTTTCTCCCATTCCGTAGGTTGTCTTCTTGTTTTACTTCTGGTTTCCTTTGCTGTGCAGAAGCTTGTAACTTTGACTAGGTCCCATTTGTTTATTCTTGCTTTTATTTCTTCTAGGAGAAAATTTTTGAAATGTTATGTCAGATAATGTTTTGCCTATGTTTTCCTCTAGGAGGTTTATTGTATCTTGTCTTATGTTTAAGTCTTTGATCCATTTTGAGTTGATTTTTGTATATGCTGCTGTCCAGTTCTCCCAACACCATTTGCTGAAGAGACTGTCTTTATTCCATTGTATATTCTTGCTGCCTCTGTCGAAGATTAGTTGACCAAAAGCTTGTAGGTTCATTTCTGGGCTCTCTATTCTGTTCCATTGGTCCATATGTCTGTTATGGTACCAATACCATACTGTCTTGATGACTGTAGCTCTGTAGTATTGTCTGAAGTCTGGGAGAGTTATTTCTCCAGCCTCTTTCTTTCTCTTCAGTAATGCTTTGGCAACTCTAGGTCTTTGATGGTTCCATATAAATTTTATTATGATTTGTTCTAGTTCTGTGAAATATGTCCTGGGTAATTGGATAGGGATTGCATTAAATCTGTAGATTGCCTTGGACAGTGTGGCCATTTTAACAGTATTGATTCTTCCAATTCAAGAGCATGGAATATCTTTCCATTTTTAAAATTCTTCTGTAATTTCCTTCATCAGTGGTTTATAGTTTTCTGTGTATAATTCTTTCACCTCCTTGGTTAGATTTATTCCTATGTATTTTATTACTTTGGGTGCTATTTTAAAGGGGATTGTTTCTTTACTTTCTTTTTCTGTTGATTCATCGTTAGTGTAAAGAAATGCAACTGATTTTTGAACGTTAATCTTGTAACCT